AAAATTTCTATTTAGTTCTTGTTTTTAAACAATTATTTTATTTAGCTTTATTTATTTATTTTAATTTTGACCAAAGAGGGATTGAGTGAGAGACTGGGGGTGGCAGAGAGTGAGAAAGCAAGCTTCCAGGTCTGAGACTCGAACCATGGTCATCCATATGGGAGTCCAGCACCTTTAACCACCATGCCACCTGCTGCCCCTACTTTGCTCTTTTTCATAGTTTACAAATTTCTATAAAAATGTTTGATCTTGTCTTTTTTTAATCTATTAAAAATAGTTATTTAAAGTATGTAATCTCATAATTCTAGTATCTGGATCCCCTGTGAATCTATTTATATTTTTGATATTTAGTTGTGTTTTCTTATCTCCATATTTAGTTTTTTACCTGAGTGCTAGACATAGTATATGAAAAGCTGGAGATAGTTTAAGCTTCAAGATGGTATTACTTTACTCCAGAGATAATTTATGCTGTTTTTAGCAAGAGTCTAAGAATCATCTTAATCTTGTTTCAGGAACTGGAATCCCCGATTCCCTCAGAAAGCTTTTCTATCTCTAGTTTTTACCCTTAGGAAATAGTCCTTCAAAGTCCTCAGTTGCAGTTGGTTTTCACAAAGCCAACCCATCTCACAGCAGGTTCAATAACTCGTTGTTTTTTCTTTCCTAGTTCAGTGAGGCTATCAAAAACTTCTCAGCCTGTTCTGAAATCAGTAGATACCCTTAGAGTAAAACTGTCTTCAACAGGTAGACTGTGCTGTGTTTTCTCTCAATAGTTCTGCTCCTGTAGGTCTGGATTACTTTATTGGCTCTCTGATTCTTCAGATAGATTTTCTCTCAGATCTCTCTCTCTCCCTCTTTCTCCTTCCTTCCTTCCTTCCTTCCTTCCTTCCTTCCTTCCTTCCTTCCTTCCTTCCTTTCTCTTTATTCCTGCCTTCCCTTCCTCCCTTCTTTTCTTTCTTTAATTTGCCAGAGGATGCTTGTGCTTGCCAGAGAGAGGGGGGGGGGATGTGGGAGAAAGCACTTCAGTGGGGCATGGTCACCCTTCAGTTCCTTCTACATTTCCCCACCCTGTTGGCACTTAGGGCATTGCACACACACGTGTCTGTCATATTCTTCAAGCTGCCAGGTTCAGGATTTGAATTGCATGATTGGCCATGTGGGATCTGGCTCCTTTAACCACTAGGTCACAGAGCCAACTCTTCCCCCAGATTTTCTAGTTCTCCACCAGAATGTTAATCCAGATCACCTAATGTACCTCTTAGTCCGTTGTAACAGAATACCTTAGGGTTAACTTATAAATAGTGGGAGTTTATTTCTCATAGCTTGGGAGGCTGGGATGTCCAAGATCAAGGTGCTGACAGTTTCAGCGTCTGATAAGGGCTTGCTTTCTGCTTCGAAGATAGCAATTTCTTCCTGCATCTTCATAGGATGAAAGGGCAAAGGCAACTCCCTTCAGCCTCTTCTATAGGAATGCTAACCCCATTCACATCTCTGATTCTTCAGATAGATTTTCTCTCAGATCTCTCTCTCTCCCTCTTTCTCCTTCCTTCCTTCCTTCCTTCCTTCCTTCCTTCCTTTCTCTTTATTCCTGCCTTCCCTTCCTCCCTTCTTTTCTTTCTTTAATTTGCCAGAGGATGCTTGTGCTTGCCAGAGAGAGGGGGGGGGGATGTGGGAGAAAGCACTTCAGTGGGGCATGGTCACCCTTCAGTTCCTTCTACATTTCCCCACCCTGTTGGCACTTAGGGCATTGCACACACACGTGTCTGTCATATTCTTCAAGCTGCCAGGTTCAGGATTTGAATTGCATGATTGGCCATGTGGGATCTGGCTCCTTTAACCACTAGGTCACAGAGCCAACTCTTCCCCCAGATTTTCTAGTTCTCCACCAGAATGTTAATCCAGATCACCTAATGTACCTCTTAGTCCGTTGTAACAGAATACCTTAGGGTTAACTTATAAATAGTGGGAGTTTATTTCTCATAGCTTGGGAGGCTGGGATGTCCAAGATCAAGGTGCTGACAGTTTCAGCGTCTGATAAGGGCTTGCTTTCTGCTTCGAAGATAGCAATTTCTTCCTGCATCTTCATAGGATGAAAGGGCAAAGGCAACTCCCTTCAGCCTCTTCTATAGGAATGCTAACCCCATTCACAGACAGCTCTTTTCCTCAGACTGAGTGAGAGACTGAGGCTGCTTCCACTTGGTAGCTCTTCTGTCCTCTAAGGCTTTCATTATCGGCATGGGTGCAGAGGATGGCCACCCCCAGATTACAGGCAGACAGCTGGCATTCTGGTTCTCACCTGAAGGTGGCACCTCTCACTCCTGCTCCTTTCCATTAGTGAGAACTTAGATGCGTGGTTACATGAAGTCAGACAGGACCTGGGACATGTAATCTGGCTCAGTTCCAAGGTGGCAGAACATAAATATTTATCTTCTGGAGAGTTAGCTATCCCTGCCACAAGTGTAATAAAAAATATGATTAGAAAAATTATTAAAAAAGCCAGTTTGGGTAACGCTCAGGTGCCAGGTCAAATTTGGACAATGACCTAGAGCCAGAAAGAAAGCCAGTAACTACTTCTGAGCAGGAGAGTGGAATGACTGCAATAGTTATTATGGCAATAATAGACAAACAGATCATGAAGACCATTTAGGAAACTGTGACATGGGTCTAGGAGTAAGAAATAAGGTAATAGGAATAGTAGAGGCCAGCAAGTGGCACGGTGGTTAAGGTGCTGGACTGCAACATGGAGTTGATCCTTAGACCTGGTGGCTTGAAAAGTCACGCCGGGACATGTGTGCATGCATGCCCATAATCCCAGGAGGAGAAGGGATTGTGGTGTGGCCATTCCTCCTGGGGAATGATTTCTCACTTTCCCTCTCTCTGTCTCTCTCCAGCAAGTGCAGGTGCCCTAGGGCAAAAAACCTTAAAAAGAAAAAAAGAAATAATGTAATATGCATGTGTAGTGGTTGAGGGAAAAAGAAAGAATAGACAGAATACATTAGTATTATTAGGCACATGTGAATTTCACCAGTGACAACTAATATGTATTGAACACTTTACATTTATTGACTTATGTAACCCTCAGGAAAACCTACTGTCCGCATTCTCACTTTTGCAGGAACCGAGACTTCAGAGTGTGAGTTGACACCAGGCACGTGTGTGTGTGTGTGTGTGTGTGTGAGTGTGTGTGTGTATGTATATGTATGTATGTGCACGTGCCCAAGATCCCAAGAAAAGGAATTGTGGCTTGCCGTCGCCTCCTGGGAGGTGATTTCTCACTTTCCCTCTCACTGTCTCCTCCCCCATCCATCCCCATAAGCGCGTGCCCTAAGGCAAAAATTTCTACAAAAAATAAAATAAAAAGAGTGTGAACTGGGACAGAGGCCAGGTCATAATAAGAGTTAAGGATCCCTGAGTGCTCAGGAATTGTAGATTGCCCTGGACATGTGGCCATGAAGGCGGGAAAGAGATAAGATACACAGTGACGCCATTTATCATCACATGATAACAGCAGCTGACAGTTTACTGAGCACTTTCTGCGTGCTGGCCCCTGATCTGAGTCCTATATACAAATACACTCTTATTCCATTTGCCCAGGGTTACAAAGCTAGTAAATTACAGGGCCAGAGACATTTTCTCAAGAGAGGACCAAGCCAGCAAGCTGTGTGTTTGAAACTCAGCTTCTCTCTCTGCCTCTTGCTCAGCCCCACATCATTCTCTCTCACTCTCAACACATTTTTCATTGCTCCCAGTTGTTTTCACATCTAGTGGTTTCATGTATATTATACTTAAACTTTTTGAAATTAGTGACCATCTTCTGTGCTTGTCTGACTTAAGAGAGATTTTTGCTAAAGAGCATGTATGCTTGCCAGAGAGACAGAGAAAGTGATAAATCACCCCAGGGGAATGTCCATGCCACAATCCCTTCTTCTCCATTCTCCTCTTGGGATCTTGGGCACACACTCATATGAGCCTGGCATGAGATTTTAAGCTGCTAAGTCTGAAACTCAAACCACAATCAACTATGTTGTGTCCAGTGATATAACCATCACACCGTCTGCTAGTCCCAATTTAAATATTCTAATAAAAAGTTGGGCCAGGTGGTGGTGTGGTGGTTGGGGCAGCTGGATCCCACATGGCTGACTCTCCAGTTCAAGTCCCAGACCAAGTGACGTAGAAATACAGCAGGCACATGTGTGTGCATGCCCAAAATCCCAAGGGGAGAACAGAGGAGAAGGGATTGTGGTGTGGCCATCACCCCTGGGTGGGGTGGGGGAGTATTTTCTCACTTTCTCTCTTTCTCTGTCTCTGCCTCTAGTGAGCATATTTACCCTCTAGCAAATTTTTTAAAAAGAAAAACATGCCAAGTGCATGCACATGCATACCTTAAGTCCCAGGAGGAGAAAATGAGAGATTGCAGCATGGTCATCCTCCTAGACGGGGGCATGCTTTCTTGCTTTCTCTCTCTTTCTCTCTTCACCCTCCCTCCCACCCAGTGAGTACATGTACACTGTAACAAATTTTTTAAAGGTTAATCAAGACATATTAGAGGGAACCAGCAGTTAGCATAATGGCTATGTCGCTGGACTCCCACATAGTCGACTGTGGTTTGCGTCCCGGACCCGGTAGCTTAAAACTCATGCTGGGCACGTGTGCGTGCGTGCCCAAGATCCCAAGAGGAGAATGGAGAAGAAGGAATTGCGGCGTGACCACCCCCCGCCCCGGGGGTGATTTCCCGCTTTCTGTCTCTATGTCTCTCTCTGTCTGTCTGGCAAGCACATGCGCCCTATAGCGAAAACCTCTCCAAAAAAAAAAAAAAAAAATCAGAGAAGATCAGAGAAGTTTGTATTAATTAGTTACCCATGAATCCTTTCATTTTATTTAAAGTGTTTTCTGAATTTGTTAACATTTAGCTATTAACATTTTGATTGTCGATTTTTTTTTCATTCTTTCTAAATTACAACATGATAGCCTTTTGTTAAATGTATCTGCTACTTTCTTAACAGGTAGATGCTGGCTGGATTGGATTTTGGTCCATAGTTGGAGGCTGTGTTGTTGGAATAGCTATGGCAAGGTGAGAATGTTTTATGTTAAGCATGTGAGTGGACAGAAGAGAACAAAAGCCAAAACAGAAATAGGCTTCCCTAACAGACATGAAAACCATTCAGCCAAGTGACACATAGGTAGTGTCACTATTTTGGAGGTTGGGAGTGGCCTGAGAGACCCAGGGACAAGTAAACATGTTTACACACCTCTGTAATCCAACCTAATTGGGAGTCAGGGGCGGGAGGATCACTACACACTGAGACCTGTCAAAATCTCACTCTGTGTCTTTCTCCTTTTCCTCTTTTCTTTTTCTTCTCTCTTATAAAGGGGGGTAAATAGGGAAAATTAAAACAGGCAAGGTCAGAAAGGGGCACTCTTTCAGGCTAAAAGAAAATTCAAATACAGTAAGTAGAATTTTGCTGTTACAGGAAATCCTCTCAAGACCCATCTTCTAAGAAGCTGCTGCTCTGCAGGCTGGGGCCACATGGGAGGCCAGAGTTTGATTCCTGATGAAACCTAAAGGCCATGACTGATGGCATGAGACTGTAGTCCTGATGCCTGGGTGACTGAGACAGGAGAATTATAATTACAATATGAATAGTGAGGCCCTATCTAGGAAAAAAAGAAAGAAAAAGATCATCTGTAGAACTCACCATGCATGAGAAGATAAAATCCTGATGAACAGATATTTGGTTTTTGGTTTTTAAACATTGTTTTGTTTTGTTCTGTAAATATGTTCCCAAGGTTATCCCATTTTGATTAAAAATGTCCAAAAAGACTTCCAGTTTTATGAAACTCCTTTTGAAAACATATGTTTAGAGTGAGTCAGAAGGAAGAAGGTCTCATTTATTCTAAAACAAAAGGAAGAAAATATCACTCTTTTAGGTGACTCCCTACCTAACTACTCGGTGTTTCCAAGGAGATACTATTCATTCATTTCCTAAATCGTTTTCCTCTGTTGAATAAAAAACAAAATTAGGCAGTAAATGTTACCAGGAAGATAGGAATGTAATTTCATATTTGGGGAGATCAAATAAGACAGGTTAGTCACCTCACCATCTAAATACTTAAACATAATTGATACAGGATAATATTCTTTCTAGACCTTACAGTTCGCACAGTGTTTCTGGGATAATGAAAGACTAAGCTGACATTGTAATTTCTTTATTACTTTTTTAAGAGAGATTTTTGCTATAGGCCATGTGTACTTGCTAGAGAGAGAGAGACAGAGAGAAAGAAAGCAAGAAATCACCCCCTAGAGGGATGTCCACATCACAGTCCCTTCTCCTCTAGTCTCCTCTTGAAATCTTGGGAATGCACACACACATGCCTAGCATGAGTTATGACACATGGGGTCTGGAACTTGAACTGTGGTTGACTACATGCAGCTAGCTCCCTCAATGTCACCATTACACCATCTGCTGGTCCCGACGCTGTAATTTCTAAGTCACCAAAGTTTTATATGTTAGAAAAATATAAGAATAAAATCTAAAAGCTAATGAAGCAGGATAGGAATATACGATTTGTAGGAAATCACTTCACTGATATATACAGAAATACATTGACCTGTTATGTTTTGATAAGAATTGCACCTGATTTTTCTAATTAAATCCACGAGCCTGTTATAGTGAGTCCTTATTGATCAAATCCTATTCTGAGAACCAAATAGGACAAAGACAGAGCCATTATGTATCAAAAATGACATCTCTGGGGGCCAGCGTGGTTAAGGGCGCTGGACTCCCACATAGCTGACTGCGTTTTGAGTCCTGGAGCTAGTGGCTTGCTATTTCTCACTTTCTCTCTCTCTCTTTCTCTGTGTCTTTCTGGTCAAATTAAAATAAATAAATAAAGTTAAACAAAATAATTATTTTTTTAAAAAAATGATAGCTCACAGGCTCCTTTCTCTTTATTTACTTTCTGTAAGAAAGAAAGAATGAAAGAAACTTGCTGCTTGGGAACTTTCATAGGTAGAACCAACCCATCACTGGGCAAAAATGCATCCACTTTTTCCACCAAAAGCTGTCATTAGCTCTTATAGAAAGCTGTTTTAGTCTAGAAAACACACCAACATGGTTAGCCATATTGTATCAAATAAGTGCACATCAATAGATAGTATTGGAAGTGCAGGATTGGTCCATGGCCTGGTGGTTAAAGGAGACAGATCTCACATGAGCAACCACATAGTTCAAATCTCAGCCCTGGCAGGTTGAAAAACACAGCAGGCATGTATGTGCATATCCCAAACCCCAACAGAATGGAGAAATGGAGAAGGGGTTATCATGTGACCATGCCCCATTGGCAGTTTCTTTCACTCTTTCCTTCCAGTGAGTGCTCATGCCCTCTGACAATATGAATGAATGAAGTCATGAAAAATTCTTCATATAGTTGTTTAATGAAAGTATGTCATTGATTTAAATAATACTTGAAAATCCAGCTAAAATTAATAGAGAACATTGTTTCTTTTCAGGTTTGCAGATTTTATCAGGGGTATGCTGAAACTAATCCTCCTCCTCCTCTTCTCTGGGGCTACACTGTCATCCACATGGTTTACCTTGACCTGTTTGAACAGCATCACACACCTGCCTTCAACCACAGGTGAGCACAGACTATTTTAGAACTTGGAATAAATATTTTTAGTTCATAGAAATATACATGCTCTAAGAGTAGGACTTTTTTCTTGCTTTCTGTAATTGTTAAGTGTACAATAGGTTTTTCCCATCTAGTCAACAAACCATCATCCCATCTAAAAAGGGCCCAAGAAACAGCTTTTAAAAAAATTATGTATATATAATAGAGGTATTTTTCTTAGGGTGCATGCACTTGCCAAAGACAGAAAGTGAGAAATCACCCCCCAGCTAGGATGGCCATGATGTAATCCCTTCTCCTCCATTCTCTTCTAAGGATTTGGGGCACACATGCACAAGTGCTTGGTGTGAGTTTTAAGCCACTGGATTCAGAACTTGAACCATGGTTGACTATGTGGGAGTCCAGCAACATAACCATTACACCATCTGATGGTCCCATAACTAAAAATATTTCAATCAGTAGTTTGCATATGGAAAAGAAGTATAATTTTTAGCCTAAATTCATATAGCATAGAAAAGCTTATATTCATTTGAAGTTCTTATCAAAGTATAATACAAGGATTTTGATCATATACAAATATATATGTGTATATATATATATAAAATAATTATTAAACAGTAGGGGGAAATTGGCAAAGGTAGAAAGCCATAATGTTTATAATAGATTTAGGCAAAATTCTTGGAACCAATACCTATAGCTTTGTTTTTTGTTTAATTTTATTTTACCATCGATATAAATCAGAATAACTATTTAGAAATACCTGCTAGAAGTATATTATACCAGTTTATTTGGCTCATCTAATGAATCTGAAACATTTGTAGTCACTGTTATTTTTATTATTATTAATATTAACTCAAGGTCTGTATCGGTTTTCTATTGCTGCTATAGTAAGTTATACCAATTTAATGACTTAAAACAACACAATGAATTATCTTACATTTCTGTAGGTTAGAAGTCCTACGCAGTCTCACTGGGCAGGCTCTAGGGAAGAATCTGTTTCCTTGCTCTTTCCACTTTCTAGAGGTTACCTGCCTTCCTTGGGTTATGGCCCCACTCTCCATCTTCAGACCCAGCAACCGTGGGCTAAGTCCTTTTCACACTGCACCCTCCGTGCCTTTCTTCCAGTCACATCTCCCTCTGAGCTCTCCTCTTCGGTCTCCCGCCTGCACGTTTAAGCATCCTTGTGATCACATTCCTCTCCCCCGCCCCCCCCCGCCC